TGTGTGTGTGTGTGTGTGTGTGTGTGTGTGTGTATACTCATGCATGCACACGTGTGAATATGAGCAAGATACAATGATACGTCTATGTGTGAGTTTGCAATGTCATTATGAAGCCCATTGTTTTGAAGACTAACTATAAAAATAATTTAAAAGGAAGTGAAGACAAACCCTCAAACCAACCTTTCCACCCTTGGGAGGTGGGTGTAACGTAAAACACAGAAGAAATCAGGCTGAGGGCTAAGCTAAGGGAAGGGAGGGGTTTTAAAACTGAAGTTGGCACGTGCTGTATCACTCTCTGAACTGTGTGGGGAGGGGCGCCCTCGTCAGTTCTCAGAAGGCCGTGCTCCCACAGAGTATGAAGGTCAGCTGTGGTCCAGCAAGTTCCCATGACTGGCACTCTGTCTCCTTTTACTCACAACCAAGTTCATTGTTGCTGTGGAAAGCAAGATTTCCTCTTGCACCCAGGATCAAGCATGACCTGTGGGGCACCAACCAAAACACCGTTTCTGACTTAACCATGCGCTGGGTAGAACCTTCCCTAGACAAGGAGTATTTTAGATTCGACATGAACAGTGTCCCCACTCCTGGACACCTTGTCTTCTCTCTTTTCCTTCTTTTGTGTTTGGTTCTGAAATCAAACCCAGAGCCTCATTCATGGTGCCTGCTGGGTTAACGTCCTGCTTCTGTGCTGTGCCCCAAGCCCAGATATTTATATGTAAAAGAAAGCTGTCGCTCCATCTGCCATACACCCGCTTGCTTTGTACAGATAATCCCCTGGCCTGCAGGCTGTGTATTTCTGTTCCTCCTCGCCTCTCTGAAATCCATCCTTCTGTGTATGCTCTTCTAGGTACTATGAGGCATTAAGCATCCAAAACGCAAAATGTTCCTTCTTAGTATATGTGTTTTGGCTCGGTGCGATCCTTGCTGTCATTTATGTAGCCAAAATTGAAGCTGGATTCTTCCGTGTAATTTTCCTGGGTTTTTTAGAACATTGCTAAGAATCTCTTTGGCCAGTGCAAGCACGAAGACTATTATAAGCCAGCTCCAATCACCTTTAAGGTTTTTTTAGAGTGTATTCAGTACACTTTCACCTGGAGCTTTGTGCCAAGAGTCATGCTGAGTTTTGAGAGTTCGTCTCTCTCAGAAATGTCCAGGAATTCCTTTTCTCTTCCTAAATTTTACAAAGCCAGCCCTGTGGAGGTGGAGCCTGTCATCCTTTGCCTCGTCTATTGCGGCGTTTCCTAGATCGTGTAGGGCCTGGGTTGAAATTCACCTCCTTATCCTGCTCTCTGGGTACCAAATAAAAACTTCCACTCTCTGCCCCTCAAAACAGATGTAAAAGTGCACCAGTGTGTGTGGTAGACCTAGGCCCGCGAGTTTATCTGTATAGAAAACTCCTGTGGAGTGTGGGAACTGCTCTCACCCTGAGTGGCTCAGCAGGACCACAGCTGACCTTCATACTCTGTGGGAGCACGGCCTTCTGAGAACTTAATGCCTTGTCAGAGCTCAGAACTGTTGAAAACCTAACTTAAAATGCAGGTTGCAGATTTCCCAGTCCACCCTGAACCACCGAGAAATCCTTCTTTATTGCCAAAAGAGAGCTAGCAGTGGAAAAAGCCAAATAAACAGAAAAAGAAAAGATCTTTATCATTACAGTGGGAGCAATTGTTTTTTTTTTTTTTTTTTTTGCTTTTCTTTACTAAACAAAATGGTATCAGCATGCTGAACATCTTTTGAACCAATATGTGAAACTTGGTAATTGATCTGAAATGAAGTTTTCAATGTCAAGTCAGGCATATGCCAATACTTTACTGAAAATAAAAAAACATAAAATATTTCTATACAGGCAGGGAACTCTACAGAGTACCATTTAAATTCATTATCCACCTCTAGTTTTTTACATTGGTGGCAGCTGCCGGTCTTCCTTTTTAAAATTTAATCGATTTATTTATTTTACATTCCAACCCCAGTTTCCCCTCCCTCCTCTTCTCCGATTCCCTTCCCCCACTTCCCCTCCACCCCCCACCCCCCCCACCATCATTCTTCCTCTGTTTCTGTTTAGAGAGGACCAGGCCTCCCATGGGTATCAAGTTGAGGAAGGACTAAGTACCTCCCCTTCTATTCAGGCTGGGCAAGGTGACCCAGTATGAGGAACAGGTTCCCAACAGCCAGCCAAAGCATTAGGGAAAGCCCCTGCTCCCACTGTTAGGACCCACAAATTGACCAAGCTACACAAGTGTTGCATATATACAGAGAGCTTAGGTCAGTTCCATGCAGGCTCCCTGGCTGTTGGTCCAGATTCCGTGAGCTCCTACGAGTAGGTTAGTTGTTTTGGTGGGTTTTCTTGTGATGTCCTCGACACTGCTAGTCTTTCATTGAGATAGAAGACTATGAACTTACTCTTTCATAGTTCTACTTCCAAACTGGGTCTACTCTGAAATCCTTATGAATTTAAGATCATCTCCATCTTGCATTAAATAGTGTAACCATTAAGGCAGGATTTTAGGAAGAGCTGTCCAGATAAAACACCCACAAAAAGTGGAAGAAAAACACGTATTCTCTCTCATGAGTATCCTTGCTTCTGATCTTTGTCTTTGGCATGAGGAACTAGGAAATTAGAAACTGCACTGGCCGGGACAGGAATCTAGGAACGGGAAATAGTCAAATGGACTCTATCTATTTGACTCACCAGAATGAGCCAGAATAGCCCATGACTCTGGGGTCTAACACATCATTTTCATATATAACTCCTTTTTATTATTGTTTTAACTTCCTGTCCAATCCTTTGCCAGAAGTTTTAGAACATAGGGGTAAAAGTATCATTATTCCAACTTAAAAATTAGTAAGAATTATCTTGAAACAATGTAGTTTATTTATTTAATTTGCTATCTTACCTTTTCAATTTTCTCATCCAGCATTCTGAAGAATTCTTGTTGGCTTTCAGAGATGTGCATGCTGGAAAACAAAGAAGAGTTAGTACGTATTTCAATGCTCCCTTGAACCTCACCTTCTCAAGTTAGTGATAGTGAACCCGCAAGCTCTGAGGCAGGCCGTTATTCACTGCAGACTTTCCCACCAAACAACCCAACGTTGCTTTAGAAGACGCCATTGCCCTGATCTTGCAGACGGCCCCTAAGTCTACGAGCACTCAGGACTTAAGGAATATAACTCCCACATCAAGTGTAGGGGTCACTTAGATGGATGTTCCTGGGTGGAGCCTGCCAATTTTCTTTTCTTCCAAAACACATTTGGGATTTTAAAAGAACAACGTAAAGACACGCAACATGTGGCATTGGCAGTCCTGTGTGTGACAGAGAAAATGATTCTCGGTACATTGAAGCTCGGCTCCTACAGATGCTGTAGCGTCGACATGGCCCAGCTGATTCTAAGAGTACGGGCTGAAGACGTAAGTGCAGAGGACGGGACAATTGCTTGAACCCGGCCCTGACCAGTTCCTGCAACGTTAGCAACTGAAATTCCACTGAAATGCCGGGTAAGTTAAGAAGTGCCTTCGAGTCACCCTCACCCAATGTGATGCTTGTCCAGCTTAGTTGTTGTTGGGGTTACCACAGAAGAAGGCAAAGAGGGCTGGGATCATAGATAGGAAGGTTGTGGCAGAATGGGCCTCAGTGCTAACGTGGTCCTTCTAGCCTGATGATACCCATTGGTATCCATGGAGGTGAAGGGCCCTGGGTGAGAGACACACATACTAACCACACTGGTTGCAGTGTCTGGGGACAAGCGTGGAGGGCAGGCCTAGAACGGCTTCTTTAAGCTCAGGGTGGGGAGAGGCCCACCTAAGAGCCCTGAGCATGACGCCTCACACCTTAGAGGCCACGGGAGGACACAAAGTGTCCTGAAACCCTTCAGGCTTTCCATGAACTGGGCTCCCACGAACAGCTCTCCTCTGGGTGGAAGGCCACGACTGGGAATCTGTGAGCCACGCGCCGTCGGCCTTGCTATGAAACAGAAACACCGCACACCTGTGACGCCACTAATCGGTTCACAGTTGACAGAGCGCTTTCACACATAGCGTCTCAATTTTGCCAGCCTTTACGGAAATCGCGCCAACAGGGGAAATGTTCTATTTGGGAACTGGACCCTCTCTGGTATGCAGATTTGAAAGGCAGGGCGAGCATCTGGGAGGAAGCGAGCAAACAGTCTTCTGCTCTGCAGAATCTTGACCAGAAAAAAGTCAGCGAGCGCACTGAGTTTTCCCGGCTTCCTCACGGCTTTCCCTGCTTAAGTGTCAAAGCGTTTTGCTCATCTGAGCTACTCCGGAGGCAGACCTGTCCTACTGTACGCGCTATATCCGCTAGGGTTCCCTCGCTGACGTGAGGCCATTCCGGGAGTCTTACATCACCACACTCTCCTGCAATACTGTGACACTCAGGGCCACGAGCATGGGCAGGGCGGGCTGGCTGTCCACGAAGCGCCCTGGTGCTTTAGCTCTGTCCCTGATCTTGACACCGTTCTCTCGCGGTCTCTTGTGGGAGTGCTATTGGTCTTCCCTCTGCCATGGTCCCGGATGTTACTTTACTGCAGGCTGCAGATCAGCACAGCCAGGCTTTGCACCTATGTCTGCAGGGAGGGTGACACTCCGAGGCTTCCCGAGGGCGAAGAGCATGGGCCACCCGGCACCCACATTGGCCACACGGACATACTTTGGTTCTTCTTGTTCTTGGCCAGGCTCTCCACAGTTGTAGGTCCCAGGGAACAAAGACTTTAAGACAGGCATGTATCTTCATATAGATAACAAGAGAGACTGACACACGTCTGTGTCGCCTCCTTAAGAATGCTCAAAAGACTTCATGAAAATGGCGTTTTTTTAGGCTTTGGTGGTCACGGGTGCAAACTGCTGGGTGCAGTTCTTAGCAATATGTGACTTTGCGTGCCACAGCAAGGCAACGGACGTTTGCTAATCAACTGACCGGGTGCTACTTAAATTCATGTGACTCTTGACCCCTCACAGAGGCAGTGTGGTTTGTCACGTGGGTAAGGTGCCTGGCCTCAGACGACTCTTCATACGTAAGCAAGCCTCTCCTGCTAACCATACACAGTTGTTGTCGACTCCCATTTAGAGCTTTATTTAATGATTACGACGTGAGGACAGATGTGAGGACAGACGTGCCTGGTCAGCAGTCACACATACACATGGAGAACCAGCGAGGGTATCTTACCTCTCTGCAAGTGTGGCTGCCATCTCTGTGGTCGCAATCACCTTATTATGAGTTCTGCGTCAAGAACTTGAGACTGAGGTCTGTCAAGGTCACTGGCCTAAGGATGTGTGTAGTGGGTAGCCATTCCATCTTCCATTTCTCAGGTACCATTATATTCCTTCTCAGGTCTTTGATGAGATTGAAGACTAGCAGCTATACTTACAACATATATATATGTATACATATATATATGTATATATATATACATATATATATCATCTTAGATAGAACATATTAAGTATTAGATTCAGGTTCTTTAGGACAGGACACCTTTTAGAATGATCTTTGTAACATGCCATTTACCCACGCTCTAGACTTCTCTGGATTTTAGTATGTGCTTCTTGCTTGATATTGTTCGCAGTGATTGTAGTTTCATCTTATCTAGGTTATCCCTCATTACTCCTGGACAATATTTGATAACCATTCCTTTGTATATAGTCTTGTATTAGGTTAGAACCTTCTTATTTAGACAAAAGGGGGAGATGTAGTGGGTAGCCATTCCAGATTTGACCTGGAAGTTCCAAGCCCCATTGAGGCTTCAGTAATGGTCACGCCTACAAGGCGGGGCTGAGAGAGGATGCTGAAGCCCTGAGATCCTGATGTGTCCAATAGATGTGTGTGGAGACAAAAGCACGAACGCCTCAGTGCTTTTAGTTTGCACGGTTCGGTGTTAGGGAAATGCTGCCTCCCTGCCCGCCTACACACCAGGCAGGTTCACTCTTGCAATACAGTATGCTTCCTGCCGTGGGTGGAGCCGAGCGAATGGGAAGGGGGCTCGTTACCATCAAAACCTCATGCACGACATAAGCTCCGGCTTCTGTCAGTGGGTCTATGTCATACTTCTCCAGAGGAGCCAATGCTCCCTCGAGGTCCTAGTTATCTGTCTGTCATTAGCAAGAGAAGAAAGAAGGCTTACTCTATCTTCCATGGGTTCATTTCAAAAAGAAAGAAATCTCATCAACACAGAATCTGAGGAAACAAACTCTTGCCTGGATATATGGACCCTCCCCTTACCACACGGAAATGAGTACCAACACAGCAGCACTGATACCAGCATTTAGGAGGACAAATTGCCCTGTGAGGATGGGTCTCTCCCTGGGTACCAAGCCTACTCAAGGCATCTTCTTCTCCTGATGCACAACTGGATGGCTGTGAATTGGGCAGAGAGAGGGAAAGCCACCAACTTTCTTATCTTTCCTCTCTACATATTAGACAGGTGTTGTAGAATATTATTTTAAGGTGTGTTACTTCTGTAGATGTTGCATTTGTTTAACTCTGTGAAGCTGTGTTACTGTGCCTGTATAAAACATTTGATGATCTAATAAAGAGCTGAACAGCCAATAGTAAGGCAGCAGAGAGAAATAGGTAGGGCTGGCAGGCAGAAGGAAAAATCTGGGATGAACGAGAGGAAGGAGGAAAACATCAGGGGCCAGCCACCCAGCTATACAGCAAGCCATGGAGTAATAAACACAGGTATACAGGAATAGAAAAGGAAAAGCCCAGAGGCAAAAGATAGATGGAGTAATTTAAGTTAAGGAAAGCTGGCTAAAAACAAGCCAAGCTAAGGCCAGACATTTATAATGAGGTATAAGCCTCTGTGTGTGATTTATTTGGGAGCTGGGTGGCGGGCCCCCCAAAAGAGTAGAAAAAAAGTCCAACAACAAGAAAGGGACTACTGCTGCGTGGTACACAAGTTTATACAGCACAATATGTGGGGCTACTATTCACTGGACTTAAACTTTTACAAAAAGCTGTATAGTGGTGTCTGCTTTAACTAATGGAGCTCAGTGAATACCTGAGTGGGCACTGCAAGGTTCTGGAAGATCAACCTGCACCCTCACCGGCTTTTCTTCCTGTTACTTCTCAGCCTCATGTGCAAAGCTTTTTGATGAAGGATGACGGGCAAAATGGGCTTCAGAACTAAAGGCATTTGGCTTTCATTTCTAGTGACATATAAAATTTCCAAATACAGAAAACGTCAGCCACAAAAATATAAGGCAGTAATATGGTCTGGATCTGATAATGACCTCCCAAAGGTAATGCCACGAAGGATTAGAATCCAGCAATGTTCAGGGGAAGGGTCTCCGGGGGGCAACTGGACCATTAAGCTCATCACTAATGAATTCACTGACAGTTATTAATGGGTTACTCAGAGATGGTGGGAACCTTAGACTGCAGGGCTTACGGGCCAGTGGGGGCAGGCTCCCGAAGGATGCGTTTTGTCTCTGGCCCTTTACATATTTGTGTTATCTCCGTCTCTGCCTCCCTGCCTCCACTTTCCTGGCTGACATGGGGTAAGCTGCTTTGTTACATCATACGCTCCTGGCCATGATGCTTTTCCTTCACCAGAGGCCAAGAAACAACAGAGCAAGTGACTATGCGACAAAGCTAACCTCCTGCTCTTCAGAGGTGCATCTTCTCTGGGATTCTGTCATAGCAATGGAGATCTGATTTACAGAGGAGGTGTCCTGGTTGCTGTGGATTTTTATTTGTTTGTTTGTTTGTCAACTTGACACGAGCTAGAATTATTTGCGAAGAGGGAACCACAAGTGAGAAAATGCCTCCATAGGATTGGCCTGTGGGCAGGTCCGGGGGGACACTTTCTTAATTAGCGATTGGCCTTGGGAGGGCCCAGCTTCTTGCACGGGTGCCATCCCTGGGCAGGTGGTCCTGCATGGCACGGGAAAGCAGGCTGAGCAAGCCAGTAAGCAACAGTCCTCCATGTCTTCTGCATCGATTCCTGCTTCCAGGTTCCTGCCTTGAGTTCCTGCCCTGATTTCCCTCAGTGATGGACTACAAGCCGTAAGGTGAAACAAAGCCTTTCTTCTTCCCCAAGCTGATTTTGGTTGTGCTGTTTTACCACGGCATTAGAAACTTACCTGAGACAGCAGGCAGGACCTTACCTTCTTAGTGTTCCACCTCTGAAGGCAGAGAGCACCCTCCCCAAATACACTGCCTCTATTTGCTCAACTTACCAACACTGAGGTTTTCAAGAGCTTTGGGTCTCTGTTTTTCAACAGTGCGTCCCGGGCTCAATATGCTTTTCCTGTTTATCTATCTCGTAACAATTTAATTCTCAGGTCCAGATGGAAACCCAAGTGCACAGAGGAGGCAAAGCTTGGTCTGCCTCGACACCTGCACACCCAGAATTCCACGACCAACTGGGTTCCTCTTCATCTTAGCCTGCTCAGTGTTTTCTTCCAACTGAACTTTGGGGCAGAAGATTCATTCTAATCTTTCGGGCACATTCCCAGTGGTAGTTCATACACAGCTACTTTTATCTGTTTAATTGTTTTGCTTGAAATAACAAACAAAACCAATATAAGTAGCCGTGAAACTCAAACCAAAACTAATTACTAGAACCTCGATTACAAGCTACAGCTGACCCAAGGGCAGTTCCCAGGTGTGTCCCTCTGCCCCAGGGAAACTATCGCTGTCTTTTATCTTGGATTACCTTTGAATACTAAATCTCTGAATGTGCTAAAATAAACAGTTATCTATTGTGGTTGCATTTTTAAAACTTATAGAGCGCAATGTGCTCTATGTAACTAATGTAGGGTTGATATCAAATTGCCAGGGTCCATGCAGCATTGTGCACTGCCACTGAGCACTTGGCTAAACGGCTGACCAATCTTTCACTGTGTAAACATCCTGTATTTCATTTACAGGGCCCCAGTTAAGGGCATTTGTCTTTTCAGTTCACAAGATTCCCATCTCTGTCTCTGTCTGTCTCTCTGTCTTTCTTACACACACACACAAACACACTGCTGTATAGAAAATGCTCTTTTTAGAGTAAGCATATGAGTTTATTTTTTATACATCTCTAAAAGCTGTAGTCCGGTCTTTCTCTGCAGGCTGAGTAGCTTCCAGATGTCAAGGTTAAATAAAGTGTTCTCTCTAGCAAAGTGGTTCTCAACCTTCCTAATGCTGTGACCTTTTAATATAGTTCTTCATGTTGTGGTGACCCCCAACCATAAAATTATTTTTGTTGCTACATTGGAACTGTATTTTTGCTATTGTTATGAATCGTAATGTAATTACCTGTTTTTTGATGGTCTTGGGTGATCCCTGTGAAAGGGTCATCTGACCCCAAAGGGGTCACAACCCATAGGTTGAGAGCTACTGCTCTAGCAGCATGGAGTAGTATCTACGCAGTCATCTCCTAAAACTCAGAACTAAGGGATGCTTTTTAAAAGAATAGCCCATTTCAGGGTGCTTGCATGGAAAGGTGATTGGCTGTGTTATCAGGTGTCTTGTGGTTTCCAAAGACAGACAAAGTGCACAGCAGTGACTAGGATCAGAGAGGCTGCCTGGGGAGGGACTAGTGGTCAGCAGCATGGGCCTAAGTGGGAGACAATCAGCTGCACCATTACTCTGACACAGTCAACCTTAAGTGGATTTATGAATTTATTTTTAATTAAAAAAATTATTTAACTTTATTTTATGTGCACTGGTGTGCAGGTGTCATATCCCCTGGAGCTGGAGTTACAGATAGTTGTGAGCTGCCATGTGGGTGCTGAAAACAGAACCCAGGTCCTCTGGAAGAGCAGCCAGTGCTGTTAATGGCTGAGCCATCTCTCCAGTCCCTTAAGTGGATTTGTAAGTGTTCATTTTTCTTTGAAGTGAGCATTGAATCTCTTAGTCCTTTCCCCACATGTTGAGGATTCTTAATTGCCACCACATGGGCCTAGGCCCTAGCAACTCACAGACACTGGGTTGGGATAAAGTGATTGTATTAGTAAGGGTTCTCTAAGGAACAGAACTTATAAAATGAGTGTCTGTCTATCTATCTATCTATCTATCTATCTATCTATCTATCTATCTATCTATCTATCTATCATCTATCTATCTAAAGGGGATTTGTTAGAATGGCTTATGGGCTGTGGTCCAGCTAATTCAACAATGGCTGCCTATGAACGGAAAGTCCAAGAATCCAGTAGTTGTTCACTCCACAAGGCTGGATGTCTCTGCTGGTCTTCAGTATACACTGGAATCCAACAATGTAGGCTCTAATATCAGTGAAGGAATGGACTTGCTAGCAAGGTTGAGAGCCAAGCAGACAGAGACCCAAAGCTTTCTTCTCCTACGTCCTTTATGTAGGCTTCCAGCAGAAGGCATGGCCCAGATTAGAGGTGGGTATTCCCAGCTCAAAGATCCAGATTAGAAGTGGGTCTTTATACTTCCAATGATTTAATCAAGAAAAAAGCCCTCACAGGTGTGTCCAGTCATTTGGGTTTTAGTTAATTCCAGATGTAGTTACATTAACAACCAAGAATAGCCATCACAGTGATCATGAAGCAGCTGGTTACATCTCAGTTTTCCAGGAAGGCCCAGCAATGATATGCTGCTGCTTCTGCTATGGTCTTGATGTAACAGTCAGAACAGGGAGAAGATGACATAGGCCAAATATGCTTGCATCCCGAGGAATTTACTCGGTCGTAAGCAGAGCACTACAGTAAAGATTAACAGCCTCTCCTAAGAAATATAACGATAGTCTCACGGTCACAAAGTGAATTTTATCACCAATATGGAGTTGGTCCTAGAACAATCTAGAAAGAGAATCAATGTTTTTTTTTTTTCAACACACTATTTTATTTACTGCTTCTTTTATGACAGCTTCTTCCTTTGTAGTGTGGTTTGCCTGGAAGTCACTAAGCCAACTGGCCAGGACAATCCTCCTGCCTCTGTCTCCTAAGTGCTAGGATTACACTCATGGACCACCATGCCCAGGATATTAGCTATTTTATTAAAATGATTAATGAGTGTTCATCTGTTGGAAGCCATGATAGTATCAAAATGTCTTCAAGTACCCACGCTACAAGGAGACGTATTAGATACAACATAAATTTTCAAGTTAAAGATCTCTTAAAATGATGTAATTACCACTCAGATTAGGAGAGAGAGAGCCTCTGGGTCCAGCCGTGTCTCACCCAGTCAGGAGCTACCATTTTTAATACTTTTCTACTTCTTGGCTTGTCTTTGTTATTTTTGCCACACACTTATACGCGAGATATTGCTTATTTATGTCTTTGATTTTAAAGGACCATCCTCCTACTTACTGTTCTGAGAATGCCCCGCCCTGGTGTGTGTAACATGTCCCTACCTCATTTATTTTCACTGACTGACATGGAGCATTCCCATCAGAAGAACACGCCACAGCACTGTTACCCATTATATTACCGACGGACACTGGGTTTTACTTCTAAAAGCTTATCTAAACTGCTGTTAATGAAGTTTCCAATGTCTCCCAGCACAGATGTGAACTGTTTCTCAAGGGCACACACCTGCCCCTGGAGTTGCTGGAGGGTAAAGTTTGCTTAGCTTCAACTTTCCTAGATAGCAAAACTGCACCCCCCACCCCCCAGTTACCCTGCTGTGTAACCCACCAGCAGGGGGTTACAGGGGATCCAGGGGATCTGGTATTCATAGTCTGACCAACTTCTGCGTTGTCAGATTTAGACATTTTTGAGAATCTGATGGAATGAAATAACTTGATTTTCAAACAGACCAGCCAATCAGGTTTCCTCTTCAGCCAAATGGCTGTTCATGTGTTAGCCTAGTCTCTAGATTTTGCAGTTTTATTTGTAGAATTATTTTCTATATTCTAGAAAATCCACACTGTCATTTATACATCATTCTCTCTTTTGCTACCTCTACTGTCTTACAGTGTATTCTAATGAAGATATGTTCATAATTTTAAGTATTTTCTAATGAAGATATAGTCATAATTTTAATGCAGCCATCAATTAGCAAATTTCCTTAAGATATATATGTTTTATATCTTAATGAAGATCTCCCCATCTCAGAGCCATAAAGCTATCCCTCTTACTTATTTTACTAAATGGCCTGACAGTGTCAGCTTGGAATATGCACTGAGGATGTTCTGAGAGTATGTTTTGTTTACCCTCTCAATTACTAAAGCTTGATAATAAACCTTGATTACCTGGTGGGCAAAAATGGAGTTTTAAGGACAACACAAGGAAAACAGAAGGCAGAACTTACTTTGCTCTGGGTTGATGGACCAATCCAGGGATTTCTTTATTAGTTTTAAGCCTTGCATTTGAGCTGGCACTTTTTTCCTGAAATGCAAGCACATATGTAAAAGACAAGATGAGAACCCGTGATTAGGTGATAGCGAGCAATTTCATCCTGAACTTCTCTGATCTGCTGGAGCCCCTCTACTGAAGCTGGAAACATCACAAACACAAAGGTCCTTGCAAAGATGTTATACAATACAAGCAGAACCTGCCAGACACTGGAACAGGAAGTTCTGTAATGAAAAGAGTAGGCTTTCAAACAGGTACCACTGTGTGTAGAACAGCATGCGGCTGGCGGTTAAATACCCATTTGTAGTAGTGAGAGACTGGACAAAAGGTCCCCAGTGTCACGGGGGGGGGGGAGGGGCAGGACAATTGCAGGCACTGTCTGCCTGTCCAGGTGAACTGGCTGCAGTATAGACGCTAAGACACCGAGTGTGAATAAGGCCCTCGCTGGGACAAGGACAAGGGCCTGGCTACAAATGACCAATAGTTCCACTTCACAGTAAACTTTGGGGACTAGAGTCTACTGGATTAATGAAAGTCTTTGGCTTGTAGTGTGACAAGATTTTGTATTTCCAGCACAGCAGCCGCATGGGAAAAAAATATTCAGGTGTTAAAGTGCTGGCCTATTAGAAAATGTACTATCTCAAAAGGACTACCATCTCATGCTGTTAGAGACCTACACAAGGTCTTTATGCGTAGCTTCAAGAACATACCCTTAAAGTGGGAAGAAAGAACATTCATAAACAGGAGGCTGTTCATCCTTGAGGAACCTGAATTGTGGCCCAAACTGAAGAGACCACCATTTAATTTAAATACCACAGTGGACGAGCTTCCCAGCTTCAGTACATACAGAGTAGCCTGGATGCCACGAAACAGACGGACCCCAAATGGACTCTTTCGTGTCCCTGTTTCTCTGAAGAGAGTCGACACCATTTGAGGCAGTGAAATTCCAGCAACTTTTACATGCCCTGGCTGGTTATTTACTATCAAACACGAGTGCGTCTGCATAATATCAGCACTCCAAAAATATGGTAATTTCATGTTCTAGGAAAGGAAAACAATTACCATTCTCCTACAGGCTACCTTACCTTCTTTATACCAAAACAATGTATTCATGAGCATTTAAGAAGTATAAAATACGGCCGGTGAGACGGTTCAGTGAGTGAAAGTACTGATTCCACAGGCCTGATGCCTTGAGGTGCACCCCAGAGCCCATGGGGCAGGGAGAGGACTAACTCCAATAGCTCTCTCCACATGCATGCTGCATTGGCCATGCTCCCCAACAATAAACAAAATACACTTAGAAAGAAGTACGGACGGTAGACTGTTCGCTCTGCTGGGGACGGTAGACTGTTCGCTCTGCTGGGGTAGACAGGGAACAACAGAGAGTTACTCGACCTTTCACAAAGCAGGTGGGAGAATCAGCCCACTACCACAGCAGCTCCAGCAGCCCAGGCCCAATGGCCACTGTTTCCCATTGGGACTGCGCTGCCTGACAAGGGCCTCAAGCATCACGCACGGTGTTCCGCACAAGGCAGCAGAGCACCCGAACAGGGCAAGCGAAGGACTCGCCTCTCTGTACATCTTAGAGAAGAAAACAGCTTACAGGAAGCCTCCCGGCAGGGTGGAGCACACAGGTTTCTCCCAAGTTGGTCAGCTTTCTCCTGGAAGCTAGACATTTTCTTAGACACTGAGAGTGGGCAGGTATGATCTGCCCCTCTGGTCACATAATCTCCCAAATTCCATAATTTCCAACAAACACCACAGAGGCAGGGAACTGAAATGTCACATAACTGTAACCTATTTATATTACCTCTTCAAATCTATTATTCATACTTGTTAAGAACAAACTCCTATATGACAGAGACTCAATGGCAAAACTTTCTACTATGCACTTATGTCTTTATTTTACAAATTATAATTCATCAAGACCGACAGTAACAACTTATTGATTACTTAAGACAGTATATTATTTAATTTATGTATATTGACTGACTTAGTGTTCATAAATATTTACATACATTAACTCATTTTCACACCTACATCATCTGAGTTAGGTACCATTTTCTCCCCCCCCCCCCCCGCCCCCCCGACAGTGATGGTCTTGCAGTCTCGAGCCTCATTCCTTAGCTTTACCATGCTGTGTACACCATCAGGTCTAGTCACTCAATTCCCATTTTACAGATCAGCAATCTGAAGCATTGAGAGATGAAGAACTTAACTGAGGTTATATAGGTAATGGGTGTTGATATTGGGATCTGAACCCAGGTAGCCAGACTCTAGAGTTCATACTATTAGTTACTAGGTCACAGTTCTCAAAAGTTTAGGACTAACACTTCTATCTATATTCTCCAAAATTTGACATTTCATTCACCCTATTTAAAAAAATGCATTTGTTGAACCCTCCACCCATACCACCAGAAATCTCTTGACTGTTGTCACGTTCATAATTGTAGACACAAAGCTTTCCAACATTACAGGTTTTGGTTAAGGTTTGAATTTTATCACTGGCAGAACCAAAAACAAATCCCTGCCAATGACTTTCCTTGAAGTGACAATCTCTCCTCATTCTTTTTTTTTTTTAGGAAATGATGTGCCAAACTCCCAGGTTGGAGCATCCAGGATCTTTGTTCTAAAGGAGCTATGCTACCCCATTGAAAGAAAGGACTGCTAATTCAGCTAACCACGCTATCAACTGCGCAAGTGCTTTTCTTCAGGAAGACAGAGTCCTTGGGTAGGCAAGGGAAATGCTTTATGCACATCTCTTACTGCCTTGCAAGGCTGTCAAAAAGATATGCCTCCAAGCACAAGATGCAATGAAATTTAATTTATATTGCTTCATTGAGGGCAATCTTAAGTGAAAATGGAAATTAGTTTTCTACTCTGAGTCATGATGGGATGGCCAGGACAGGCTGACTACTGTATCTTTGTTTTCTGTTGCTATGATGAAATACCGGAAGCTCGGTAATTTGTTACAAAAGAAAACGAGGCTTATTCTAGCTCAGTTTGGGGAGTAAAAGTCCAAGATCAGGCAGTCTCATCTCTTTGCTCCTGGGGACTCAAGGGTTGTGCAGACCAAGACCACCCTTGGACCACACAGAAAAGGAGCTTACTGCACTGATTATGGTGCACGCTGTGTAAAGAAGATTATCAGCCTCATGGGGTAAAGTCACATTCCATAAAACTTCCCTAGTATAACTGTAATTGAGTATACACATTACCACAGGCCAGTTTGAACACTTCCAGGCTCCTTAAAACCATTTGTAGTCAATTGGATTGTAGATCCTGACAACCAATGCTCTGCTGTCTCCAAACCTACATTTTCTAGATTCATATAGATGGAATCACACAAGGTGGGGCTTTTTGTTTCAGCATTTTCACTGAGTATATTTTTAAGGTTTGTTCACATGCAGCATATATCAGAACTTCATTTTTCAATGTAAAAGAACATTCCAGTGTATGACTATACCACGTTTTGCTCACCTAGCCATCACCTAATGGACAATTTAGATTGTTTTTCATTTGTGGCTATTATGAAGAATAATGCCACCAGCATCCACATGTGAGCTTGTGTGTACAAGTGTGTCTTTATTTCTCCTGGGCAGATTCCTGGTAGTGCAACTGTTGGGCTGTACAGTAAGTTTTGTTTCTCTATTGAAAACATGAACACACTATAAAGTGGCTGCATGATTTTACATTCCCACCTGCAATGCATGATGGGTCCAGTTTCTCCACATTCCACCATTAACACCTGGAAGTTTCTCAATGCTGCTATTTCAGTGGCCATGTAGTGGTATCTCACTGGGGACTTTATTATTAAAATTTGACTTTTAAGGATTTGTTCTTATTTTTTTTTCCTATATACTTACTGGTTGCCTACATTTATCAAAGAAAGCCAGTTTTATATTTGTTTACAAACATAATTAACTTGTATCTTAGGATTTGTTTGTTGGAGTGAGGAGAGATGTGAAATGATTGGCCTTTTTTAAAAAGGGGGGTGGGGCAGGAAACCAAAAGGGCTGGAAGAGTTGGTGGGAGTGGTGGAGACCCATGGTCACAGCTGGACGGGTCACCGACAGGGGGCTGAGAGCCACAAGGCGCCTGCTCCAGCACTGACATTGTGGGGAGGAGGGAGAGACCGCCAGGATGCTGTTTCTCTTCAAGACAAAGCCCCATTTCAATGCTACTTCACCCTTATACAAGGATCCTAACCAAACGAGCTGGGGACAACATGGACTGAGCAGAAGCCACGGGTCTCGCTCTCCCCACACCGGTATTCGAACCCTCTGGGAAGCTTGCTAGGACATAGACTCCGGACCTACTCAGGACACCCTGAATAAAGTCTCTGCAGAGGCCAAGGTAGCTGTAACTGAAAAAGAAGTCCTCGGCGACTCTTTAACAAATCAGAGCATTTCATTTCGGGGACAAGATGCCTCCATCTCGGATTTCCCCATTTGCCCTTCACAGAGCAGTTCCTGGGGTTCAGCGCAGATGACACCTCAGGGTTCTCACAGAGACCTGCCAGGGCAGCCACCCCTTCAGCCTTTATGCTCAGTGGCTCCATAGGCTGGAAGAAACATCCATTTTCCAAAAATGCTTGCAAACCACTGTCAGGCAGTGACAAGCTTATTTAAACAACGAAGTTTTCCTTTGCTTGGAATAATTTCTTTCTTTAGGAGCAGAGCATGCCTATGTCAGAGTAAACTTATCATTCCCTTCTCAGTTGCTGAAGACAGCCACAGCAACGGTATTAATGCGGCCGCCAGGAGCTCCCCTACCCCCTTGGCAACGCCCAGAGGGGAGCTGATGGTTTTCTTAAAAGATTCTCTCTATCCTCACCTCCTAGGTGCCCACAGGGGCAGCACCTGTTCAGGATGCCGACGGAAATCACCCTGCTCTGGGCTGGGGTGCAGAAGAATGGGACATCTCTTCTCCCCTCCCCTCTTGGTCTCATACTGGGCTGACAGCAGTAGCTGTGAGGGTCTCTTTTCTAGTTGGGCCTAAAGCATAGCGAGAAGCCCTCGTGTTCTCTCCCG